CATCAACATGTTAGGGACACTACCGGAGAGAGAGGTGAGGATGAACCAGCAAGACTGGACCTCGTATTCGCCCTGAGTAGCTAGAACATTGAGAACATCACATATGAAATTCCCCTTGGAGCTAGTGATCACATGGTTTTGAGCTTTGAATACATAGTAGAGTTACAAGTGGAGAGGGTAACAGGAGTAGGATGGGAAAAGACAACCTATGAAAGGGGAAACTACACAGGTATGAGGAACTTTCTGCAAGAGGTTTAGTGGGAAAGAGAATTGGTAGGAAAGTCTGTAAACGAAAAGATGAACTACGTTACAACAAAATGAAAGGAGGAAGAGGTAAGGTTTGTTCCCAAGGGCAACAGAAATAATGGGAAAACCAGAACGAGTCCTTGGTTTACCCGAAGGTGTAGGGAGGCAAAAATTAAAGGGTGCTATAGAATGGAAAATGTACAGAAGACAAAGGACCCAGGAAAATAAAGAAATTAATCGAAGAGCCAGAAAAGAGTATGCATAGATAAGGAGGGACTCCCAGCAACAGTAAGAAAACAATATAGCATCGAAAATTAGGTCCGACCCGAAGCTGTTGTGTAGCCATATCAGAAAGAAGACAACAGTCAAGGACCGGGTAATCTGGCTGTGGAAAGAAGGTCGGATGATCACAAGAAATGACCAAGAAGTATATGAGGAGCTCAACAAGAGATTTAAAGAAGTATTTACAGTGGAAACAGAAAGGTCTCTGGGAAGACAGAACAGAGGGGTACACCAACAAGGGATGTACCAACAAGTGTTGGATGAAATACACACAACTGAAGAGGAAGTGAAGAAGCTGCTAAGTGACCTTGATATCTCAAAGACGGTGGGACCGGACAACATCTCTCCGTGGGTCCTTAGAAAGGGAGCTGAGATGCTGTGTGTGCCACTAACAACAATTTTCAAGACATCCATTGAAACTGGGCAACTACCAGAGGTATGCAAGACGGCAAATGTAGCCACAGTTTTTAAGAAGGGAGACGGAAACGAGGCACTAGACCAGTGTCCCTGACGTGTATAGTATGGAAAGTCATGGAGAAGATTATCAGGAAAAGAGGGGCGGAGCACCTGGAACGGAACCAGCTTATAAATGACAACCAGCACGGATTCATGGAAGGCAAATCCTATGTCACAAACCTACGGAGTTATATGACAAGGTAACGGAAGAATGACACGAGTGACAGGGGTGGGTGACTGCATTTTCATCGACCGCAAGAAAGCCTTCGATACAGCTCCTCATAAGAGATTAGTGCAAAAGCTAGAGGATCAAGCACTTATAACAGGAGGGGCACTGCAATGGTTCAGAGAATACCTGACAGTGAGGGAACAACGAGTCATGGTACATGATGAGGTATCACAGTGGGCGCCTGTGACAAGCGAGGTTCCACAGGGGTCAGTCCTAGGACCAGTGCTATTTTCAGTATGTGAATGACATGATCGAAGGGTTTGACTCAGAAGTGTCCCTGTTCGCAGATGATGTGAAGCTAATGAGGAGAATTAAATCAGATGAGGATCAGGCAGGGCTACAAAGAGATGTGGACAGGTTAGACACGTGGTCCAGCAACTGGCTCCTCGATTTCACCCCCACCAAATGCAAAGTCATGAAGATCGGGGAAGGGCAAAGGAGATCGCAGACAGAGTATAGGCTGGGTGACCAAAGACTGCAACCCTCATTCACGGAAAAAATCTTGGGGTGAGTACAATACCGAACACATCTCCTGAAGTGCATATTAACCAGATAACTGCTGCAGCTTATGGGTGCCTGACAAGCGTGAGAATAGCGTTACGATACCTCGGTAAGGTATGGTTCAAGACTCTGTACACCATGTACGTCAGGCCCATACTGGAGTATGCAGCACCAGTTTGAAACCCTCACCTGGTCAAGCACATCAAGAAATTAGAGAAAGTGCAAAGGTTTGCAACAAGGCTAGTTCCAGAGCTAAGGGGCATGTCCTACGAAGAAAGTTTAACGGAAATCGGCCTGACGACACTGGAGGACAGAAGGGTTAGGGAAGACATGATAATGACATACAAAATACTGAGAGGAATAGGTAAGGTGGACAGAGACAGGATGTTCCAGAGATGGGACACAGAAAGAATGGGTCACAATTGAAAGTTGAAGACTCGGATTAGCCGAAGAGATGTTAGGAAGTATTTCTTTAGTCATAGAGTTGCCAGGAAGTGGAATAATCTGGCAAGTGATGTAGTGGAGGCAGGAACCATACATATTTTTAAAATGAGGTATGACAAAGGTCATGGAGCAGGGAGAGAGAGCACCTAGTAGCGATCAGTGAAGAGGCGGGGCCAGGAGCTATGTCTCGACCTCTGCAACCACAAACAGGCGAGTACAAATAGGTGAGTACACACACACCCACACACACACGCTGGCTGTTTCAATTTCCTCTCTAGGCATGCCTCTCGACCCACAGACCATCTGAATTAGTGTTGCCCTTCACCTTGCCGCCCCTATTCTCTTCGAACACAGGTGTATTTACGGCAGTGAATCGGCAGATCGATTTGGGTACCATGGTCTTGTATACCATACATCTGAAAATACGATTTCAAGGCACGAAGAGGTTAACAAGATCATCGAGATGACCCTCACAACAGCAGGATGCCCAGCAATAAGGGAGTCATGCCAACTATGCAGATCTGATAAGAGCCAAAAGCATTAAGATGGTATCACCCTTCAAGCCTGGACAGATAGCAAGTATGTTGTGTGGGACTACACATGTCCACATTGTCTGATAACTATCTCCAATATATCATGGAGGAATGAAGGACAGCTGCCAGCTTCAGGGAGTCCCAGAAGTCTAGAAAATATGGAGAAATTGCTCATCATTATATGTTTGGTCCCATAGGCTCAGAAACCCTTGGCTCACGGCGAAAGAGTGCATCTAAGTTCCCAAAGGAGCTAGGTAAAAGACTCATCATGGTAACTAGGACTCTCCGAGCAGCTAGTTTTCTATTCCAGCGACTCATCGCTGTAATTCAGAGAAATAATGTCAGCTGTATTTTGGATATGCACTACAGCTCTGAGGAGATGGATGAGATTCTCTTATTATAATATGTGACAAACACTTATGTACTTGCTCCATTCCCGGACTCGCGGAACTCCATGTTCATGAAGAACTGCAAGAAGTCCCTGTCACAAGCCTTCAACATTCTGTGAGGAGGGAACATAGACACAGGGGTCATCCCACAGTCACTAAAAACAACACAAAGGTGGCAGTAAAACAATTTCAAAGAACTACAGACCGATAGTACTAACATCCCTTATAAAGATCTTCGAAAGGGTTCTAAGAAGGAAGATCGCCCACCACCTAGATACCTATCAGTTACACAGCCCAGGGCAACACAGATTTAGAGCAGATCGATCCTGCCTGTCTCAGTTACTGGACTACTATGACAAGGTCCTGGATGCTATAGAGGATAAACAAAATGCAGATGGAGCATACATAGATTTTGCAAAAGACTTTGACAAGTGTGACTATGGTGAAATAACGCACAAAATGCTTGATAAAGGAATAACAGGAAAAGTTGGTAGATGGATGAATAATTTCCTAACAAACAGAAGACAAAGAGGAGGTGGCTACTGTGAAAAGCTCTGTTCCACAAGGCACAGTACTGCTCCCATCCTTGTTTCTCATCCTCATATCTGACATAGACAGGGATGTAAGCCACAACACCGTGTCTTCCTTTGCAGATGACACCCGAATTTGCATGGCAGTGTCCTCCACTGAAGACACTGGAAGACTCCAGGTGGACATCAACCAAATCTTTAAATGGGCCACAGACATCAGAATCATATTCAATGATGAGAAATTTCAGTTACTCTGATATGGAAAATGTGAGGAAATTAAAACTATATCTGAGAATAAAACAAATCCCAACCACACAAAAAAGCGAAAAACTAATGTAAAAGACTTGGGAATGATGTCAGAATAATAATGTCAGAGTAATAATGTCAGAATGACATTATCACTCTGATAATGAGAACCTTCAAAACTAGGGAGGCCAAGCCCATGATGACACTCTTCAGGTCTCTTGTTCTATCTAGGCTGGAATATTGCTGCACACTAACACCACCTTCCAAGGCACAATAAGTGCAATTAAGTACCTCAATTACTGGGAAGGCTTGAAGTTCCCCAACCTGTACTCCCTAGAACGCAGGCGAGAGAGATACATGATTATATACACTTGGAAAATCCTAGAGGGATTAGTACCAAACTTGCACACGAAAATCACTCCCTATGAAGGCAACAGACTCAGCAGACAATGTAACATCCTCCCAATGACAAGCAAGGGCGCCACGAGTACACTGAGAGACAACAAAATAATCGTCAAGGGCCCAAGACTGTTCATCTGCCTCCCAGCATATATAAGGGGGATTACCAATAGACCCCTGGCTGTCTTCAAGAAGGCACTGGACAAGAACCTAAGGCCAGTACCTGATCAGCCGGGCTCTGGTTCTTACGTCGGTTTATGTGCGACCAGCAGTAACAGCCTGGTTAATCAGACCCTTATCTACCACGAGTCCTGGTCTCATACCGTGCCGCGGGGGCATTGACCCCCGAAACCCTCTCCAGGTATACTCCAGGTATACTGTTATAATATAGTGTAACTCCCATGGGACGCCCTTCTGATGATAAACTAACACTGCCGGCTGGAAGATCCAGCTTCACCGCTGCTTGCACTGAACAACACACATAAAGTTCACTTATAATTACTAAAACAATATAGAAAATAAAAACTACAGCAACAACACCAATACTAAAAATAATAATTATAAAATAATAAAATAATAATAATAATAGTATTAATAATAGTAATAATTATAATAATAAAGAAAATAGCAACAACAACAACAACAACAACAACAACAACAATAATAATAATAATAATAATAATAATAATAATAATAATAATAATAATAATATCACGCATGACTCAAAACAGCAAACTCTGCTTACCAAGCCAGGAACGCAGGCCCAGCGAAGTGCTCATCCAACTCTTCTTGCGTGAGACCCATTTTGGTATACAAACGCTGCCATATTGCCTCCTGACCCGTGAAAGCTAAAGGCAAGTTGATGCCATTCAGGGCCATCCAGTCAATTTCCTTCTGCCATCGTTGCCAACCCCACCACGCCATCGAGTATGACACTGTGCATACATTCTGGTAGTAACGGAACCTGCAGATTGAAATAGAGATGGTAATATACACTGACCACTTTATTAGGTACACACTTCTAGTACTGGGTAGGGATCCCCTTTGACCCTACAACATCCTCAGTTCTTGGTGACATGGATTCACCAAGGTGCTGGAAACATTTCTTAGAGATGACTCAAGAAATCGTAATGACACGATTGCAAATAAACCATACCCCCGGCCGGGATTGAACCCGCGGTCATAGAGTCTCAAAACTCCAGCCCGTCGCGTTAGCCACTAGACCAGCTAGCCACAATAAGATTCATCCAACTAGGTATATTTCTACACCATAGGAAAGTTAGCACAGGCACCTCTGTGACCACAAATGCAAGTTTTTACAGACGAATCTCCAGCTAGCGTGGCCGTGACGAACTCTAGCTCAAGTCCCTTCACTGCCGTCAACATGACTCAAGAAATCGTAATGACACGATTGCAAATAAACCATACCCCCGGCCGGGATTGAACCCGCGGTCATAGAGTCTCAAAACTCCAGCCCGTGGTGTAGAAATATACCTAGTTGGATGAATCTTATTGTGGCTAGCTGGTCTAGTGGCTAACGCGACGGGCTGGAGTTTTGAGACTCTATGACCGCGGGTTCAATCCCGGCCGGGGGTATGGTTTTCTTAGAGATCCTAGTCATGTTGACATCACACAGATGCTGCAGATTGGACGTTGCACATTCATGCTGTGAAACTCCAGTTCCACCACCTCCAAACAGTTTACTCCAAATTCTAACCCGATCATCTGCATGTTACAGCAGATGATTTATAAGACCTGGCGACGTTTTTCCAATCTTCAACTATCCAATTTTGGTGATCCTGTGGCTAATGTACCTTCAGTTTTCTGTTCTGACCTGACAGAAATGTAACCCTATGCGTTGTTCTGCTGCTGTAGCCCCTCAACTTCAATGTATGAGGTGTTAGGCGTTCAGAGATGCTCTTCTGCATACCACCGTTGTAATACGTGATTATTTGAGTAACTGTCACCTTCCTGTCAGCTTGAACCAGTCTGGACATTCTCTTACGACCTTTCTCATTAATAGGATATTCACTGGATATTTTGTGTTTTACACAAAATTTTCTGTAAATTGTTGTGCATGAAAATCCCTGGAAATCCGCAATTTCTGAAATATTCAAACCCCCTTGTTTGTCACCAACAATCATTTCACTTTCAAAGTCACTTACATCACATTTCTGCCGTATTCTGATGTTTGGACCGAACAACAACTGAAGCTACTGACCATGTCTACATGCATTTAGGTATTGAAGCTGCCAAGTGATTGCATGAATAGATATTTGCAATAACAAGCAGTTGTACTGGTGTACATAATTAACAATGATAGGTATGAAAAATACCAGGTAACACAAATAAGTAGATGGAGGAAGTATCAAAGGAAGGTAAAGTAGAGGGAAACTGTATCAGATGGGCAAGGAAAAATACCTGACATGAACGGATTATACAGAGGAATCTGACGACTCCGACATGTAAGTAAGACGGAGATCACAGTATAGATAGGAAAGGGAAAGGAAGCACATGAAAGAGAAAGTAAGAAGGAGCTGGTAGCAGATGGAATGGAAAAGGGAACTTGGTAATAGAGAGAGGTAGGGATTATAAATACTACCTGGCAGGTTTTAACCTGCCAGGTCATTCTATGGGGAACTGGAGGCAATCAGATTCGACGCAAAGAAGAAGAGGCCAGTTCCAGTTCCTTGGATTATCAGCTATTCACGGCAACGAGAAACCTACCATAAACAAAGAAAGGCAGGGAAGAAAGTGCTTGTAACTATATTTTTAGGTACAAGTAGTCAGCGCATCCAGTATAATTATGAGACAGAAAAAGAGTCAAAGAACCTCCACTGAGGGAGTCAGTGAGTTGTAGAGATAGCTCTTCACTATAGTCAAGGAACCTACACTGAGGGAGTCAGTGAGTCGCAGAGATAGCTCTTCACTATAGTCAAGGAACCTACACTGAGGGAGTCAGTGAGTCGCAGAGATAGCTCTTCACTATAGTCAAGGAACCTACACTGAGGGAGTCAGTGAGTCGCAGAGATAGCTCTTCACTATAGTCAAGGAACCTACACTGAGGGAGTCAGTGAGTCGTAGAGATAGCTCTTCACTATAGTCAAGGAACCTCCACTGTGGGAGTCAGTGAGTCGTAGAGATAGCTCTTCACTATAGTCAAGGAACCTCCACTGTGGGAGTCAGTGAGTCGTAGAGATAGCTCTTCACTATAGTCAAGGAACCTACACTGAGGGAGTCAGTGAGTCGTAGAGATAGCTCTTCACTATAGTCAAGGAACCTCCACTGTGGGAGTCAGTGAGTCGTAGAGATAGCTCTTCACTATAGTCAAGGAACCTCCACTGTGGGAGTCAGTGAGTCGTAGACAAACCTCCTCACTATAGTCAAGGAACCTCCACTGTGGGAGTCAGTGAGTCGTAGAGATAGCTCTTCACTATAGTCAAGGAACCTCCACTGTGGGAGTCAGTGAGTCGTAGACATACCTCCTCACTATAGTCAAGGAACTTTTTTTAAGGTCAGTGAGTTAGACATAACCTCTAATAAAAACGACCTGACCTTCAGTTCGTCATCAGACTCTTGGATGGACTGTGCCTGGTCTTCAACTACACATCAGACTCTTGGATGGACTGTGCCTGGTCTTCAACTACACATCAGACTCTTGGATGGACTGTGCCTGGTCTTCAACTACACATTAGACTCTTGGATGGACTGTGCCTGGTCTTCAACTACACATCAGACTCTTGGATGGACTGTGCCTGGTCTTCAACTACACATCAGACTCTTGGATGGACTGTGCCTGGTCTTCAACTACACATCAGACTCTTGGATGGACTGTGCCTGGTCTTCAACTACACATCAGACTCTTGGATGGACTGTGCCTGGTCTTCAACTACACATCAGACTCTTGGATGGACTGTGCCTGGTCTTCAACTACACATTTAAGTTTGAACAACCAGCTAATGTCGAACTAATTAACTGTGAAACTGTCAATCGGAAATGCGTCATTATGTGACTAAATGCGATAAAATATGAATCAAGAGACAACTCATATTATAAACAATCCTGTTAAAATGCCGTAACGTTTCCTGTGGTAAATAAATCATTACCACTGTAACGTGCCTAAAAAATACAAAATAATTTTCTTTACAAACAAATAAAGGGCAATGTAAATAATTCAGACACACATGTGCGATATTTGGTAAAGCTTATGTTAGATAATTCAAGGTATTGTGAGTAACTCACAAGAGTTGCTCTAAATCCTTTAAGTCATAAATTATATAGAACAATGTTTCTGTCCTTTGTAGAGTTAATAAAAATACTGTTGTATATAGATTCATTATGTACTACTTGTCTAATATTTAAAATATCGTTCACAGAATGATGATTGTGTGCTAGTTCAGTGAATAGCTCACTCGTCTCAGAACCAAGAGGACCCGGGTGCAACTTCCTGTCTAGACAGGATGTATTATTAAACCAACGGGCACGTGCTGGCCCTGTTTATCTAACGGGTAAAAGATTTATAAACGTTTGTCGGCTGCGGAAGGACATAAAAATAATCTTTATGGAAATGTCACACTGTTGGTGCTTCTTGGATTATGCTGTTACAAAGATGGTAGTTGAGGAAGCTGCTGACACTTACTTGTCATTAGAGGTAATATTGAAGCTGGCTGGAGGAAGAGTGTCGGGTAAGTCGAGTTGTTGCGCCTCCCAGGAAACATGGGCATGACAGTAATACTTGAGGTAGTGAAGGATGCCCCAGGCTGCTGCCACTCCACTACTACCAGTCACCTCTACACTCACAGTCACACCTGGTGACTTCACCTGCATCAACAAACCAGGTGGAACGTTTAGGAAAAATGTTTTCATGACATCAAAGGATACAGTCACATGCAATGGAGGAACTTTTTTTTTTATATTTCATTTAAAACGTAATATTACAACATAAAATATAAATATATAGAAAACCACCATCCCTTAACAAACAGGTATCCAAATGAGAATTCATAAGCCCAGTACACCATATAAATTGCTCAACATTCCGACAGTCACTATATACACTTGGAGTCACCTAGGATGTTCATCATGCATAAATAGAAATTAAATAAGATCTTTGTGGCCACATGTGTCATCCTAGTACAAGAATGCACTATAAGACATGCTATAATAAATCATATAGCACTATCTCCTCAACCATAATAGATATTATATAATCACATAGCTAGACCTATAACATATATGTTTACCAACATATTTTATAATGCTTAAAATATTATGACAAAATAATATTATAAAACATCAATACACAAATAATATAATTTTTTTTTATATATTATTTAAAAATGATGTTACATTGGTTCGAACCCATAATAACAATATATAAATGAAGACAAACTATATGCTTCCTTGTGTTGCGATTTACGATCTATGTTTTGCTTTCATTTATATATTGTTATTATGGGCTCGAACCACTGTAATGTAACATAAAAACAGATGCTCATGGAAAACTAGAAATGAAACATTATAACAACTCGTATACAACATCCCTGTGTAAATACTTACTATAAGAATACAACACACACTACAACACCCCCCCCCTCCCCCCATATTCCCAACAGCTGTATCTGCCGTCACCAACATAACCAAGACTATAATACAACATTAATTAACATGGTTGAAAATAAAAACATTCTGAGACACACTTCATACATAACAACATTACTACATAACACAGGAAATACAAAAACATCAACACATGTATAACATACGTACAAAAACCACAATGAATACAGCGGTATACATAGACACAACATAGACACAACATAGACACAACATAGACACAACATAGACACAACATAGACACAACATAGACACAACATAGACACAACATAGACACAACATAGACACAATATAGACACAACATAGACACAACATAGACACAACATAGACACAACATAGACACAATATAGACACAACATAGACACAACATAGACACAACATAGACACAACATAGACACAACATAGACACAACATAGACACAACATAGACACAACATAGACACAACATAGACACAACATAGACACAACATAGACACAACATAGACACAATATAGACACAACATAGACACAACATAGACACAACATAGACACAACATAGACACAACATAGACACAACATAGACACAACATAGACACAATATAGACACAACATAGACACAACATAGACACAACATAGACACAACATAGACACAATATAGACACAACATAGACACAACATAGACACAACATAGACACAACATAGACACAACATAGACACAACATAGACACAACATAGACACAACATAGACACAACATAGACACAACATAGACACAACATAGACACAACATAGACACAACATAGACACAACATAGACACAATATAGACACAACATAGACACAACATAGACACAACATAGACACAACATAGACACAACATAGACACAACATAGACACAACATAGACACAATATAGACACAACATAGACACAACATAGACACAATATAGACACAACATAGACACAACATAGACACAACATAGACACAACATAGACACAACATAGACACAACATAGACACAACATAGACACAACATAGACACAATATAGACACAACATAGACACAACATAGACACAATATAGACACAACATAGACACAACATAGACACAACATAGACACAACATAGACACAACATAGACACAACATAGACACAACATAGACACAACATAGACACAACATAGACACAACATAGACACAACATATACACAACATAGACACAACATAGACACAACATAGACACAACATAGACACAACATAGACACAACATAGACACAACATAGACACAACATAGACACAACATAGACACAACATAGACACAACATAGACACAACATAGACACAACATACCTCTCCAAACACGTAATTAAACCCCTACATAACAATACAACATAATAAAATACTCTACATAAACAAAGCATCACTTCATAGAAGTACTAAGTATTAAAAATAATATATAAAAATTAAAATCCAAAAAAAAAAAAAATAAAAAAAAAATCAACATATCTTAATACAGAAGATTTCTTAAACATGTTTCATACACAGCCACACCCTGCAAGACACAGCCACACCCTGCAAGACACAGCCACACCCTGCAAGACACAGCCACACCCTGCAAGACACAGCCACACCCTGCAAGACACAGCCACACCCTGCAAGACACAGCCACACCCTGCAAGACACAGCCACACCCTGCAAGACACAGCCACACCCTGCAAGACACAACGCCACACCCCTTCAAGACACATACCACACCCCTTCAAGACACATAGCCCACACCCTGCAAGACACATAGCCACTCCCCCTTCAAGACACATAGCCACACCCTGCAAGACACATAGGCCACACCCCTGCATAAACACATAGCCACACCCAGCAAGACAGAAACAAAGCTACACCCTGCAAGACACATACCACACCCTGCAAGACACATAAAACCACACCCTTGCAAGACCACATAGCCACACCCTGCAGGATACATAGCCACACCCCTTGCAAGACACATAGCCACAACCCCTGCAAGACACATAGCCACACGCCTGCAAGACACATAGCCCACCCCTGCAAGACACAAAGCCAACACCCTGCAAAGACAACATATCCACACCCTCAAGACACATAGCCAGACACCCTGCAAGAACACATAGCCACACACCCCACAAGACACATAGCCACACCCTGACAGCACAATAGCCACACCCCTGCAAGACACTTACCACACGACCCTGCAAGGTCACATAGCCACACCCCTGCAAGACCACATAGCCACAGACCCTGCAAGACACATAGCCCCACCCTGCAAGGTCACATAGCCCCCACCCCGCTGCAAGACCCATAGCCGACGACCCCTGCAAGACACATAGCCACACCCTGCAAGACACATAGCCACACCCTCAAGACACCATAGCCACACCCTGCAAGACACATAGCCACACCCCCCAGCAAGACACATAGCCACATCACCTGCAAGGCACATAGCCACACCCCCTGCAAGCCACATAGTCCACACCCTCAAGACACATACCACACCTGCAAGGCACATAGCCACACCCCTGCAAGACACATAGCCACACCTGCAAGACACATAGCCACACCCTTGCAAGACACATAGCCACACCCTGCAAACACAGAGCCACACCCCCTGCAAGACACATAAGCCAACCCCTGCAAGAACAACATAGCCACACCCCTGCAAGACACATAAGCCCCCATCTCCCCTGCAATACACAAAAGCCACACCCCTGAAGACCATAGCCACACCCTGCAAGACACATAGCCCACCCCTGCAAGACACATAGCCACACACCCTGCAAACAACAATAGCCACAATCCTAGCCACACACCCCTGCAAGACCACAAAAGCCACACCCGCAAGACACATAGTCACACCCTGCAAGACACATAGCCTCACCTTTGCAAGAAACATGGCCACACCCTGGAAGACACATAGCCACACGCCTGCAAGACACATACCACACCCTGCAAGACACATAGCACACCCCTGCAAGACACATAGCCACACTCTTCAAGACAAAAAGCCACACCACCCCTCAAGACGACATAGCCACACCCTGCAAGACACATAGCCACACACCCGCAAGACACATAGCCACACCCTGCAAGACACATAGCCACACCACAAGAAAAGCCACCTTTGCAAGACACATAGCCACAAGAGTTTATTATATATCCCTGCAAGACACATTAGCCACATCCCCTGCAAGACACATAGCCACACCCCCTGCAAACACATAGCCACACCCCTGCAAGACACATAGCCACACTCCTGCAAGACACATAGCCACACCCCTGCAAGACACATAGCCACACTCCTGCAAGACACATAGCCACACTCCTGCAAGACACATAGCCACACTCCTGCAAGACACATAGCCACACACCCTGCAAGACACTATAGCCCACAACCCCTTCAATACACATAGGCCACATTCCTTGCTAGACACATAGTCCACACCCCTTCTAGACGCATAGCCACACCCCTGCAAGACACATACCACAGCCTGCAAGACACATTCCCACACCCTGCAAGACACATAGCCACACCCCTTCTTAGACACATAGCCACACCCTGCAAGACACATACCACAACCTGACAAGACACATAGCCACACGACCCCTCTAGACACATAGCCACACACCCTGCAAGACACATAGCCACGACCCTGCAAGACACATAGCTACAACCCTGCAAGACACATAGCCCCACACCCTGCAAGAACACATAGCCACACCCCTGCAAGACAACATAGCCACACCCTGCAAGAACACATAGCCACACACCCCTCTAGACACATGTGCCACCCCCACCCCTGGCAGACATCATAGCCACACCCTGCAAGACACATAGCCACACCCTGCAAGACACATAGCACACCCTGCCAAGACCACATAGCCACACCCCTGCAAGACACATAGCCACACCCTGCAAGACACATAGCCACACCCTGCAAGATCCATAGCCACAACACCCTGGAAGACACATACCACACCCCTGCAAGACACAGGAAGTACATTTGTTAAAAAAGATACATTAGTTTAATAAGAACCTTGAGATATAATCTTGCACACAAGAGGCTCACTGTCAGACATAAAGAACCAACTTCATACCTTTCTAAATTAAGCTCCAACTTACTCATACAGTTGTTCCTGAAGGGAATCTTGACTACCTCACAACCCCCGTGTTTTCCATATCCCCAAAATTAAATAAGAAGAATCATAAACT